TATATATGTGTGTATTCATGTGCGTGTTCACATGCGGGCGTGATCTTAATTGTCTTGTTGTGAATTTATATATAAATGTATATATGAATGCACTTCCATAGAGACGGCTTAGTAGGTTACCTTGTGACAGTTTAGACATGGTCCGTAGGAACGGATGACCGATAGCTCTGGAAACGAGCATTTTGGAGCGTAAGGACGGCCCAAAGTGGCTGAGGGGTACCATTACTCTCATTCCAACTAGTGTCAAGCTATATCGCTCGAGATTATATTTAGGCTCTTATAATAAGCCGAGGAATCTCGCTGCTTTTGTATGATGTATTATTTATTATTTACCGTCAGTAAAATACTATTTGTTTTGAGAAGTGAGAAGTGAGAAGTGAGAAGTGCGAAGTGAGAAGTGAGAACAGATGCCTTACACGGCCTTTAGGGTTTAGGCTTTAGAATTAAGATTAGGCTTTAGGCTTTAGAATTGAGATTAGGGTTTAGGCTTTAGAATTAAGATTAGGCTTTAGGCTTTAGAATTAAGATTAGGGTTTAGGCTTTTCGATCAGTTTGTCTTGCCTAATATAAACGAGAGAATGCACAAAGCCAATACACGAGACATATGTATTGTACTCATCTATATAGTATCTTGCAAAACTGGATTGTTCTTGAAAATGTTTAAGGTTAGGCTGGATATAAGACTACATGGAGGTACTGGTGGCTTTAAACCCTAATTTATCATGTGCCCGAAAAGCACTCGCAAAACCATTACACAACCATTGGTGCACGTTTGATTGTACGTGTTCGTACTGGAATAACTCGTCGATATACTCTGTGTTGGTATTTATATCATTCGAATCCTATTCCTGTGTAGATCCATTCCTTTTCTTTTCCATTTTACATGCATATGCGATAGTAAGTGCGCTATTAGTATTTTGGTACGCTATGTTTTTAAGTCTCTTGCTGGTACGTATTGTTCTGCACCGCAGGGTTGCTGAGTGGATTGACACATAGCCTTCTGAAAAAAGAACGAAAACTATGATTGACATCCTGAAAGTCAAGGGTATTGTAGATAACTACCAATTCTTATCGGTATGAAAGTAGTTTAACCATATATTTTATCAAAATTTGCTGAGACTATACATGTACGAGTCTCTATTTGCTGCACTTGTATTTAGAAAGAATCATTTCACAACACATATGCTGCTTAACGACACATGCCTGAATTTTCTCGCACTGCATCTACTACATCAGGTGACAAAGCATTCCAATCTTATATGCACGCCCTCAACCTGCTACTATTCTCAACTTACCAGAGCATCCACTTAGCTATTTTAAAAAAAAACGTGCCACCTCGCAGTTACGCCACGATCAATACCGACATGGCCGTTGCGATTGAATGCGATTTCTGTGTTGAGGATTGCTACTATAATAGCTCTTTTAGAACATAGCGTAGCGTATATACATATGTAAATTACACACATACAAGTGTACACGTGTGTGTGGTTGAGAGAAACGTGTACAAAGGGTGTATATCCATACAGTAATTAAAAACCTTTTTTATATTTAAAACAGGCCCGTCACGTGGTATACCATTTCAAACTGGTCTGCAAATTGTCGGCTTTGTAAGCCAAATCCGTGCATTCGTACTACGACTATGAGATTGGCGCTTAGGTCAAAATTGGTCGCGTTCAGAACCACAACTGTCCTTTCAGTATTTCCTGGTTCATAATTCTGGATATTACTCAGCTGCATGGAACAAACTCCAGTTTACATATTCTTACACGACTGTCACTTTTGGCCATGCGCATTGACGTTGTCGCACAATCGCACCGAAAGAATCGAACAGAAGGCGGGGCATACTAAATTACTATTCTGAAGATATTATACTTGTGGAAGGATGCGACCGTACGTTCATCTACGACCGGGTCTAAGGATAGATGGTCGTGCTAAAGGTAAAGTCCATAGTACTTGTATACAGCCAGTTTATATAGTATTGAATTTCTGCAATCTCAACAGTTGTTCGATATGTAAACATAACAACAGTTTATTTACTGTCTACATGGAAAACCTCCAGTAGAGGGCTGTACATGATGTCAAGGCATAGCCGTACTCAGACAATCGCCATCCACACCCGCATGATGTAAATGCCTTTCAAAATTGATTCTTAATACCATATATATCACTCATGTGTTTCATAAGTAGTACAAAGAAGGATAGTTTGGGGAAGACGCGATTACTCGCCGTCAACGTACCGATAAAGTAATACACACCGAAGCATTCAATATATCAATTTAGAAACGCGTCAAAGTCAGAAATAGCTTTATTTACTCAGAGTGAGATATCTTTTATGGATGTTTTAGTTTCACAGCCAGCTACTACTATTTCATATATGCTGAACTTCATTCTTGCCAAATTTGTTACCAAACACACTTTCAGAATTATCACTGATCAAGTTTGGTAACAATAGCAAACAAGATATAAAGAAAGGTACATCTCGCCACCAATATACCGCTTAGAATAGTTTGCAAAACATACAATCTGATATATAATAGCTGACTGAAAGATATACATACAGCAGCCAAGATAGAATCTTACAAAATTTATATCACAATCAGAAAGCAAAGAGCGACTTTGGACAAGCTCAGTGTGCACACAGCGGAACAGGATGGTTTCTAAATGCTACTCCGAAAAGTAAGCAAATAGATATGCCATCCAGACCATGTACAACGTCAACACTTGGTGGTCATTATTTATTGCACAGACAATGAACTAATATATTAAATGCAGCTTTCACACATATTGGAGTGCATAGACAGGCATACAAAACACCCTTTAGTGTCCACAAGTCTAATACACGCGTATAATTGAATGATGTGAATATGTCAACGGCAATCAGTAGTAGTAGTACGCCATATGTGGGATAAACTCCATTTATCGCTTTACACAAGGGTGGATGCTGTAGCGGAATCGTACTTCCAGACGGGGGGTAGCTGTCCTACGCGCTTGTAGTAACGAGCCAATCGGTGGATACGAGCCTCGATAAGAATAAGACGGAACTTGGAGTCCTGGGAAATAGACGTGTATATTACCGTTAGATCCGCATGTATTCAATGGATATCATAAAATGTTGCTCGTATGCACGCAGCATGTTCGACTCAGTAAAGTAACAAAAAAAAGCTGCAATATCAAAATTGTACAGGGCAACTTAATATCAGGTAGCTGAAGTATACATGGTATATACGAGCATAATAATATACCTACTTCTATAAATCAGATGTACTATGCATACCTTGTCCTTACGGTTACGGTCCAAATGCTTGCGCACAGACACTGCCTTCTTAATCAAACAGTACAGATCCTCGGGTGTATCGGGGGCAAGACCCTTAGCGCGAAGGATTCGCAAGATCTTTGATCCGGTAACACGGTCAACCTTGGCAACTCCATGTGAATCACGAAGAATCACACCAATCTGCGATGGGGTCAAACCTTTGCGGGCTAGCTTGAAGATCTGGTCCTTGACATCATCAGGTGAAAGCTTCAACCAACTGGGTACTGACCGACGGTACGGCAGAGATGATCGGGAGATACCCTTTCCGGGGGTGTGCATGCGAACCATGGTGACAAATGTGTGTTTCAAGCTTCAGCGGAGAAAAGGATGTTACACCTTTGTTTGTGTTTGGTTTTGTATAGCGTGCGGTATCTGCGTTCCGGAGTGTAAAATATGTGCTCTAACTCTTAGGTCGAATACACGTGAGCCTGATGCCCTAAACTGCGAGGGAAATAAACCTAGTTTTTATTTATTTATCACCGAAGGGATTCAGGCTCGAGGCTCGGGAGTTGAATCCCGAGTTACATAAAGTTTATAATTGTGTTTAGTAAATGGACCAATCAAACCTTGTACAATTCAAATGACTTATTTTTTTCGGGGCTGAAATTATAAATAGAATTGATGACATATCAGAAGCTGAATATCAATTTTGGCCGCCAACCACATGAACTAATTTTTGTCCGATATTTGGTGCATGTGTACAGTCGATAATGCTCGTCCTCGGATATTACGGTTCTCGACGTGAATGTGATATAATACATTATAGAGCTTTTATCTATATTTGATCTAAGGCGTTCACCAAAGCAGTCGATATAGATACAATTGTTATATATTAAAAGGTGGCGGCAGTATAAGGCGTGGGTAAATAGTTTCTGACAAGGTCATATAGGCTAACCCCATAGTATAGACAATATGGAAGACTCGTCACAGAAGGGTCACCAAAAATCTGTCACCGGTGGCAAAGCAAAGGCCAGAGCAGCGGCTGAGCACAGGAAAGTCGACCGCAAACATGAGAACTCCTTCAACGCAAAGGCAAGATGTGTAACCCTTATTACCACAGTATAAAGTACATATATGAATAGATGCAACAAATATATATATATATATATATATGTATGTCTGTGTCTATATATAAATATATATATAATTATGTAT